TGACATCCGTAAGCCAGATGAACGCTGCCAACGTCAGCAGTGCAACCCCTGCCCGCGAGGGGCCCACGGGCTGCAGCCCCCCTGGTTTTGTGTCTCTTCCCTGGGGGAGCAGCCTGTGTGGACAGAGGTATTAACTGTCCAGGGGGGTTGGTTTACAGGTTATGAGGGAGGTGAAGGAAAAGGGAGGCGTAAGTCTGGCAGAAGTGGGCCTAACTTCAAGTTTCCTGACCACCACCCCATGTAGGGCCTCTAAAGGTGCAGAGCCCCAGGGGAGTCACTTACTGGCCAACTGAAGGAGGCGATTGTGGTCTGACACATGTGGCTTGGGCTTTGGCATGGGGTCCCACTCTTCCAACAGGGTGGCTGGAACCTTGGGCTTTGCCAACCACAGGATCCTCCGACTAGGAACAGCCATCTGGGCTGCCCGGGATACCTGAGACACCTGGAGACAGAATTAGAAGGGAGCAGGAAGCATCCTGTAATTCCTCACGGGGCTCTGACTCAGGAGGGCCCCATTAACATTTGAAGATGGGCTTGGTGTGCAATGTGTTTGGCAAAGGATTAGTATCTGTCATATATAAAGAGCTCCTGCAAATCAACAACGGGAGCCATAGCAAATCACAGGAGTAAGCCTAAATGGCTGACCAGCCTCTCTGTTGAGAAGGGAAATGTAAATGAAACGGCAAAATTGCACTCTATGCCAACAAATTTGGCAAAGTGAAAGATGAGAGATTACCCAGCCCTGGCAAGAACACAGGAGAAAACTCTTCATGCACAGCCGATGGGAGTAAATTGGCACAGACACTCTGGAGAGCAACTTGTCCCTCTCAAGCCAAGCTGAACAGGCCCTGGAAGAATGCCACGTAAGGCGCTCACACCCGACACGTGAGGGCGTGGCCGTGTTCACGCGGCCCGCGGCCGTGGCAGCCTCAGACACGCGCGTTGTCTGCCATCTGGGTGGAAGCAGCCACTCTCTCCCTAGGGACTAGGGAGGGGGACGGGGCGGTGGGAACGGGGTTCGGGAGCAAGGGGCTCTGGATGTGGAAGGGAGGCTGGGACCCGCCTTTGACCTGACGAGGAGGCGTGTGGTGGGGAACAGCGAGACGGGGCGCACTCTGTGAGCCCCGATTCTGGGCTCGGGTCTGAATCTCGCCAGGGGACCTGGGCGCCACAGGGGTGTGGGCCTGGAGAAGGGACGGGCGGTGCCCCCGGTCACGTGTCAGCCTTCAGCTGGATGAGATTAGGGTTTTGTTTCAGAATGGGCCGCACTTTTTTGATCTCTGCAGGGGGTTTCCTCATACCCATGTGGAGCAGAGGGCTCCGGGCCCCTCTGACTGACGGGCCAGCAAGGCCCTCCCTGTGCAGGCTTCACGGCCATGGGCAAGAGACAGCCTCACACCTGAAGCTCTGAGGCCAGTGTCCTCTCTTCCCAGGCCTTCACCCCATCCCTGAGGCGGAAAGTCCCAGAAACCTACCTCAGACATGTTTATGCTCCAGATGTTGTTCCGGACCCTGGGGGTGGCCAGCTCCCTCAGGCGGCCGGATGTTTGGTACTCCAGGGTGGACCGAGGGACAGGCCAGACGGGAGTGGTCCTGAGGGGTGTCCGCACGTCAGACCCCAGCTGGCCAGGTGTGCTTTTCCTCACCCCCTTCCTGATTCTGGGGGTACCGGGGCCTGGGACCCAGGAGGCTTTGAAGCACCTCTAGGAGGGGTCCTACGAGAACCCCCGAGGGAAGCCCCAGGGCCCGGGGCGCTGCTGCTGCTCCCAGCTTGTCGCGGCCTGCGGGGTCTTCTCCCAGCACCCGTCACTGAGGCTGGGTGAAGGGCCGGGCCGGGCTGGGACGCCAGGGTCCTGCACAGAACCCGGGGAACGCGAGCCTCGCTGGCTGGCCGGCCCCATCTCCTGAAGTGGGGTCTCAGCCCCGAGGCTCGCACCGCCCGACGCGGCCGCCCCCCACCGCAGGCGCTGAGCCTCGGTGGGTGCCGTTTGGCTGTCTGGGGCCAGAGGCAGGAGGAACCGCGCTGGGCAGAGCGGGGCTCGGGGCTCCGGGCTCGGGGCTCGGACAGACTTGGGCCGACTGACTTCGGCACGGGCCCGTGCTGTTGCGCACAGGGCGGGGTGACAGCTGTCTGAACAGCGCTGACGATCACTCTCAACCGCAGGAACGGTCCAGGCGGCGGGAGAGAATTCTGCTACAAGAATAAACAAGCTAGAAACGTGTCTCGCCACCGCTGGCTTTGTGGGAAGCCGGGGCAGGCGCCGGCACGCCGGGGGCCGTTTCCCAGGGGGGCTGGGCCCGGCCCCGGACACCCCCACCTGCTCTCGGGGAGGCCCAGCCTTGCCTGTTGCTGTTGTAGTATTCCGAGTAGAACCTCTTAGGGCGTGCCAGTTCCTCCACTCGGCGGGAGACAGCTGTGGAAAGTGGGGCAGCCCCGACTTTCAGCCTGCCCACCACCCTCAGGCTCCCTTCCCTCCCTCCTGAATTCAGCGGTCAGCAGGCTGGGAGACAGGCGGGCCTGAGGCGCTGCACCCAGACACCTTGCAGGGAGGGCGGCGGCCCCCCACCCGCGGAGAGGCGGCCCAGGCCCCAAGGTCCTGGCGTGGCCACACGGCGGGGGGTGGAGGGCCGCCGCACCCCTGCGTTTTCCAGGGACCTTGGTCATTGCTGGGGAGACTAAACCAGGGCAGAGCGTGCCCTGTTGCTTCTCTCCAGTAGTGAGCTGCCTGCAGAAGCCCGCGCGCACGCCCGTGGCCTCCTGAGCTGTGGAAACCGTGTGCAAGGGAAGGCAGAGGTCTTTCTGTGAGGTCGCACCACCCCATTTCAGCTGCCGTGGACGTTGGGGTTCCCCTAGAGAGCTCACCTCGTGCCCCTCTGCCCCGCTTCGGGACCGCCTCCCCAGGGGACAGAATCCAGACAGGAAGCTGGGCAGGGCAGACGCTCCTGGGGGGCGTGCGGCAGGGGAGCAGCGGCAGGGGGCAGAGTTGGGGGGGGGCCAGTGGTCTCCCCTAGGCCGCGCACAGGCGGGCGAGGTGGGGGTGCGACAGGGGGCGGGGCTCGGACAGACAGGGCGGCCGAGGGCCAGGACTGGGACTCTGCAGCCCGCTGCCGGGGCAGCCCCGCCCACCTGGCACAGTGACCGTGAGAGTGGTGTCCTCGAGGAACTTCTCTGTCCAGTACACGGATGGCCTGGAATACAGCCAGGCATGGCTCAGGGTGCGGGAAGCCGGGCACAGGCTTCCCGTGCCCTGCTCTGAAACAGAACGGGCACCCCAAAAACAGACAGGAAGGCGGCGAAGCAGGGCAGGGTGGCCGGAAGAGGAAGGGAGGGTGGCGGGAGAGGGCGGCACGGAGGAGCTCTGGGGCTGGGGTGCAGATTATTTTGAGCAGGGCTGGTGTTCAGAGAAAGGGGAGCTGGAAAAAAAAAAAAAGGCATAACTAAGAAAAATGCCAGGGGCCCAGGGCGGGAGCAGGCCCACTGCAGAGTGGACAGAGCACAGGGTGGAGCGGAAGGGCCTTGGGGCGAGGGAGTCCCCCGGGGAGCCTGCCACCCGCCCTGTGCCTGGAGAGGAGGAGCAGAACGCAGGTGACCAGACCCCCGGCGGTTCCCCCCAAGTGGCAGGAGGGAGCAGCAGCTGCCCCAGGACTCACCAGTAGACACAGAACTGCAGACTCTTCATGCGCGGGGAGACCCAGGTGAACCCCTTACATCTGTAAGCCTTCCTGCAGGGAGACAGGGCCCCCACGGGCCGCCATGCTCCCGCAGGCCCCACCCGGCCCCCGGCCCCCTCCCTCGGGCGTCGTGGGGTGACAGAGGCAGACGAGGGCGGCCTGGGGGTCGAGCGGGGCCAGGCCGCTCCCTCCTGCAGCCCCGCCAGGCTCACCTGTCTCTCAGGACTTGCCAGCTGACCTTGGGCCTGGCCAGGTCACAGATCCGCCGCCTCTTCCTGCATCTGGTTTTGGGGGTGCTGGGGGATCCCTGGGAAATGGACAGCTGGCTGTGGAGAATCGGATGTGAAGGTCACACGCTCCATCGCCCTGACCTCTCCTCCCAGGGGGCCCTCTAGGGTGAGTGCTGCTGTCACAAGGACCCGTGTGAGCCCGCCTTGACCGCCAGGCAGAGGCGCCTCCGGTCAGCCCCCTCCATGAGATGGAAAAAGCCTCGTGGGATTGTTGAGATAATTAAATAAGACAAGGTGTGCTCATCACCAACGCGCCCCAGGGGAGCGTGGCTACGAGGAGCACCCTCGGGAGCCCCCAGAAGGGAGGAGCAGGGCTTCTGCACCCCGGGTCTGGCCCGTGCTGCCCCCAACCCTGCCCTGCTCCCCTGCTGGGGGGGACCACTCCCAGCGCCCCTGAGGCCCACGCCGCCCCGCCCCGCTCCCACCTCATCTCTGGCACGTCTTCCTCCATGTCCTTCTCCAGAACACTCTCCAGCCCCGAGAGCACCTCTTCTGGGTTCTGGGTGTCCAGGAATTCCTCTCCGTTCACCTCCTCCTCTGGGAGGGCCTCTTCCTCTTGCACTTCGAAGCCCAGCTCCCTGTCATCCAGGTCCTGGGACTTGGTCGAGTCTCTGGACCTTCGACTCTCGAACACCGTCCTCTGGAGGCTCGCGGCATCCTCCTGGTCCACGGGCTCAGACGGGACCTTGGTCTCTGAGCTGCTGTGGTGGCCGTTCAGCGAACTTGGCTGGTTGTCCTCCATGGACAGCTCCTCTGGACCCGCAGTGCCGCTCCCTCCACACCCAAGTGTGTCTGTGGTCACCTGGCAACACAAGAATGTCCCGCCTGCGTTCCGGCTCCACGTTCTGCTGCCAGCACGGCCTCAGGGCCCTGGTGGGGACCCTCAGGGGTCAGTGTGGGGCCACCTGCTGCCCCAGCCATGGCCCCAGCCTCTGACCTCTCCTATCTGGCTACCCACACACCTCTCGGCTGGATTCTCCTCCCCTGACCGCTCAGGAAAACAGCCCAGTCCTGGACCTCTCTGTCCCAGTGAAAGGGGACAAACCCAGAGAAACGGGGTCGACCCAGGGGTGGCACTCACCCACACTCTAGAACTGCAGGACAGGACCCGAAAGCAGCACGTGTGAAACGGAAGCAGGGCCCCCCAAACTCCTGGACCCAGCCCCACTGAGGGACACGGGTGCGCTGTGCCCCTGACTCTGCTGAGCCCCGTGGGGGCCCTTGGAGCCCTCCAGCCCACCGCCTGCCCTGGACTGGGAAGTCCAGTGGGCCCAGAGGCAGGCTTTTCCCCTTTCTGTCAGGCTCCAGGTGGGCTTAAGAATACACCACTTTGATTGGCGTTTGACCGGCACCAATCAAAGAGCTGGAGTTGGACCCACCCCCTCCTTTTTAGGCAGTTATGCAAATATGGTGCAGCTCTCCAGCCCCTCTGGTGGCTATGCAAACAGGGCTCTTAATCCTCCCAGTGTTGATTGGAGCTTCCCTGGGTGTCATCAACTACAAGGACCAATCAGGTTCAAAAGGTGGGCACCCTGGGGGTATTTAAGCCCGGCTCCCAGCAGCTGAGAGAGGGCTTCCCTGGGGCACCTGCCACGGGTCGGACACTACTCTCTGTCCCCTGGCACCAGGCCGACTTCCCTGGCCTCCGAGGCTGTCTCTGCATTGCCTACTGAAGGCCACGGGTCCTGCCCAGATGTCTCCAAAGAGTCGCTGCTGGTGGCTTTGTGCCCAGCATCTCTGAGAGCTGTCACACTGGTTCCTCTGACGCCCGGGCACTGGCCCCTGCTGCTGCTGCTTTGGTGTGGGCTGGCCCGTGTCCGGTGCTGCCCGGCCTGGCCTTTGAACTCCTGTTGCTGACTGCTGTGGTGCCACCTCGGCTAAGACCTTCGAGACCTTTCTGCCTTGAGGCATTCACGACCCTAGAACCATTGCCACTGCCTCTGGCCTTGCCCCTAACTTTTTCCTTTTCCCAGCTTCTCTCTCCCTGGTGAAGGGTCCCCGTTGTAGCTGAACCCTGGCCTGAGTGGTCATGCAGCTGAGCGCACAGGTGAGCTCTGCTTCAGAACAATAGGATTTATTTACACGGGGAGAAAGACAGAGTCAGAGACCCGGGGAAAGAGGAGAGAATTTGCAGGCTGGCGTGAGACCAGATGCTGTCTGTTGCACTGACACTGAGCAAGCCGGGGACAGTGGCTGGTGGGCCTTGCCTGCGCACTGGACTGCAGGACATGGCCCCGAAGTGGACAGTGCAAGAGAGGGGAGTGGGGGAGAATTTACAGGCTGACGTGACCAGATGCTGTCTGGCCTACCCAGATGGTGTCCACTGAGCAGAGACCGAGGTCCACGCCTAAGCTGTCCGAGGCCCCCTCAGGCAGGATTCTCCAAAGGCACCCCTGTTTACCCGCAGTTTTACTTCTGCACCCCAGCAGCTTAGTGGCCCAAACTCAGTGCTTTTAACTACCGAGAGCCTAGCGGTGTCCCTGCCCAAGCCTGGGCTTGGCCCAGAGTCCCCCTCAAGTCACCCTCTACCAGCACGTACCCTCTCCATTAGGGAATGGAGTCTAGAAAGTGCCACCTTCTACATCAGGTTGGCTGTGAACGCCATCTACTGGCTTGGAGGCTGTTCCTCACCTGCCTCCCACAGGCCAAGCACAGACCATCTGTCCCAGAGACATTGCCTTGCAGAGAACTTCTTCCAATCAGCCAGACCGTCCAAGTAAACTCTGGGTAGGAATAGAGAGTACACCTCCTCTTAAGCCAAAAGCAAATTTGTGTAAAGTACTTAAACACACACCCAAAAAATACCCCAGAAGCAAAAATCCTAAGAGGCTGAAAATGTTCCCATGTATATAGCCACAGAATCTCCCAAAAGACAAAAGTCAGCTTCCACACACAACACCTTATCAGAGTCCCCAAACCAAAACTGAGCGGCCAATTCGTTGCATGGTGCTGGGGCCCAGGACTTGCAAGCAGTGAGAAGTAGCACCGGGTCCCAACTCAACTCATCTTCTGTTGCTGCATAACAAATCTCTGCATCCTTGAGGCCAACAGAGATAACAGGCTCTGATCGTTCTAAAGGGCACCAGTCAAAACTGGGGCTCACTGGACTCAAGTCAAGATGGGGGCAGGGCTGATTCCTTGCAGAGGTTCCCAGGAGGATCCCACCCCCGGTCACACACAGTACATAGAGGAGAATGGATACTCTGTGCTGTGTCTATGCGAGGGAGTAGTATACAGTCCTGAAAATGGGTGGCCCATTGTGGCCCACAGCCCTGACTTAGCTCATAGATACAGTTGAACATATAGAACCAATCCACATGCCCCTATGTGCGCTCAGTGGGACTTAGAACAAGGGAGGGAAAGGTGGTGGTAGAAAGGATTGTTTGGGGGGGGTTGTGAGGTTGATTGTGTTGATTATGTCCTTATTCTCTGGTTGAGTGTTCTCCATATTGTGAATGAGTGGGTGAGTGAAGAATACATGATGGGGTTAAGAGGTGCCGTACAGACTGATGACCGCACTGTGAGGAAGGGCAGATGACCGTCTCCCTCCGCCACTGGAGACCCACTCAGCAGAAGGGAGGGGGGGAGGGAGGAGCCACGCAAGAGCCATCAAATAACTGCTAGCGGTCTCTGACATTTCCTCCACCTAACTAACTCTTATGTCACCCACAGAGAGCAAGTGCCTGGGCTGAGCCCAAGTGCCCAATTACAGGAAATGAAAAGCCATCACAACTCGAGGCCTCGCACTCGGGGATCTGGCCTGAAACCACCCCCTCGGTCCTGGTGGAGCTTGTCAGACTGGCCAGTAGGGCTGCAGGGTCCCCTCCCTGGACTTTCACGATGCCCTTACCGATCACTTCCTTCTAGAAGCCTGCCCTGACCACTTAGCTGATTCCCTACCTAAACCACAGGAATGTTGTGCCACAGCATGTACCATGATCTTACTTTACATTGCGCCTTTAACAGAGTATTTTCCGGCATTAGTCATGAGCCCCGAGCGCGAGCGCGCAGGTGACTCGGGGAAGGAGGGACGCCAGGGGCAGGCACAGCGCGCGACGACCGCACGGGGGCGCCCCCTCCCGAGAATCTCGGGCCCGGCTGCCCGCAGCGCCGCCCAAGCCTGGCCAGGCCCGTCCTGCGAGGTGGGCTTCGTTATCGTCACCCACTTCTACCCAGCCTCTCGCCTTGGACTCGTCCCGGGCCGGGGGGCCGTGGGAGGGGACAGACGGGCGAGAGGCCGCGGGGGCTGCCCGCGGCCTTTACTGGACTTGGACTGTGACTTAGCCCGACTCGCCTGGCCCCTCGGCCCTTCCCGCGGCCCCCGCCAGGGGGCGCCGCGCACCGGCAAGCTGGGACCCGGCAGCCCTGCTGCGGGCCAACCCCGCGGCTGGGCACCCGCGCAGAGGGGCGGCGCTCTGGGGGTGTCGCGGGGAGCCTGTTTCAGTACATTCTTTCCTTTGCACCATTACACAGAAGTATTGGAGTTGTTTTCTATCGAAGGTCTCATCTACTGAAGCATGATTTGGTTTGCTGAATTGTGGCAGAACTTATTTAGAATACGCGAGGTTTGGGGGTCCCTGGCTCCCCCTCAGTCTGCCTGCTATTAGTCTCACTTGGATGGGTCCACTCATGTCTCTTCTGGGTCCTGAGCAAGGGTGGGGACCTGGAGAGGCCTGGACACCTGGACCCAGCCAAGCCCACAGATGGACGGGCGGCCGCCAGGCCGCACGCTAACCCCGTGAGCGCCGCCGTGCCGGGGTGCACAGGCGCCCCGTGACCCCAGAACAGGTCACTACAGAGCCACGTGTGCATGGGCAGCAGAGCACAGATGCTTCTCAGCGTCCACCTCGGCGCTCAGGTCCCCGGGACCACTCCCGCTGTCCAGACAGGTCAAGTGAGGAACGGGAGGTGCATCTCCCCAGGTCCCCAGGTAAGAGGGGGGCTACGTGTGCACCAGGGCCCCTGTTGCTGTAGTCCTCGCTGTCAAGCCTGTGAGCGCGACTGCCCATCTCTCTGCTGCCCCAGTTTCCCCAGCTGTGAAATAAACAGCCGGGCCCTTTTAATCAAAAAATCAAAACGCACAAACGTCCACCACGTGGCCACCGCGGCTGCAGTGCGGCGTGGGCCCCTCGGCCCAGGCCAGGGCAGGCTCAGACCCGAGGGTGCCTGCCCCTCCCCTGGGAGCCCGCCTTCGTGGCCCCACCCTCTCCCGGGCCTGCCGCTCCCTCTGAGGGGCCCTTCCCCCTCTGGTCTGGTCCGGCCTGCCCTCGCCCTCTGGACTGTCCTCTCCCCTTTCCCCCCTTTCTCAGTCCCTTTGCCCAGGCTGGCTCCCGGAGGCCCCACCCAGGCTCCTCCGAGCTGTTGCCTGCTGACCTGGCCACCGGCTGGTGTTGCCATGGCAACTTGCTTGGGTACCAAGACACCCCCCCAGCCGGCCATCACTGGAGCAGCTGGTGACATTTGAGTTCGGACGGTGGGTTTGCCACGAGCACCGTGTCCCGTGAAATCCCCAGGTCTTGACGGGTTAGGAGAGATCCTGGGTTTTAGAATATCCATGAGGGGACTCAGATGGCGGGTTTGGTGCGTGGGGTTCCTGGGCCCCTCTGAGAAATAATTCAGCAGATGCTCCCGTTCATCAGCACAGGCAAGTTTATTAAAGGGAACAGAAAACGGCAAGACAGACGCCTGCAGGCACGGGTGGGCGGGAGCTGCCTTGTGCAGTCCGCAGGAGGCGCACCACCTTGGGGTGGGCCAGGACACCTCTGCCCCCCACCGCTACCTAGTAATCTTGTCTGGCCCCGCCTCCAGCTCCAGGAAATTTCCATCTTAAAATGTCCTACTTGAAGCTTCCATCCTGTGTAGAGTTTGTGGGTGAAGAGGCGTGGCACTTCCCCTGTAACAGGGGGGTCCCCGTGAAGGGAGGTTCCAGGTTCCGGCCCTCTGAGAAGGGGGTCTGGGCAGGGAGGAGGGAGCTAGAGAAGGGGGGTCCTGGCCGGTGGGGTCAGGGAGACCTGGAGGAGGCGGCGCCTGCCCTCGGCCTTGGACTCGTACCAGGGCCTTGGGGGACACGGGAGGGGACGCCTGGAGTGGAAACAAGTAGAGACGTGAGAGACCAGGAGGCTGACAGTGGCGGCCTTGACCTTGACTTTGGCTTTGCTCCAGCTGGCCCTTCCCTGTGGGTCCCCACCAGGGGGGCCTCAGACTGGCACGTCTTCAGGCCTCAGCGCCCCCCCCGGGCCAACCCTGTTGGGCTGGGCATCGCCCGACGGGACGGAAGCTCTGGGGTTCACAGGGAAACTGCCTGCCCTCCTCCCCTCTGTAACTGGTGAGCTACTGAAGTTCCGCTGGCCGAGGATGCTTGTCCTCCTGCGGATGATGGCGGCACCCCTGGGGTCCCGGGGCCCCGCGTCTGTCCAGCAGCACAGGGTGGGAGTGTACGGCCAAGCCCCACCCCCGGCACGTGAGCGCTGCACAGCTGAAAGTGGGCTGTTTGCAGATGCAGCGGCACCAAGAGGCGGTCGCCTCGGTGACCCCAAGCCCCGGAGTGGGCTTACAAGGAAAAGACCGTGGACGACAGAGGTGGAAACTGGGGTGATGCGGACACGAGCCAGGGACACCAAAGGCTGCAGCACCCCCAGAGCCTGGGAGAGGGGTCTGGGCGGCTGCCCCCTGCAGCGCCCAGGAGGTCTCACCCTGCAGACGGGACTGAACCGCCCAGGCTTGGGATGGGAAAGAGCAGCGCCCTCTGCTGGTGAATTCGCCGGGGCAGGGGCTTGGACAAGCACTTTGCTGAGGCACCAGGGAGGATGGGGGGTGGGGGGCGCGTCAGGTGGCTGCTCTGGTCTGGGGGCGCCTGCAGCACCCCTGAGGAGATTGTGCGCCCTCGCGGCTTGCCGCCGATTCCACCTGTGTCCCCTGGGACAAAAGCCAGGTGGGCCGGGCCTGATGGTCTGGTCTCGGCATCACACACACTCTGCTCTGGGCGGTCACAAGGCCCCCGAGTCCAGGCGGGGACACTGACCCTTCTCTTGCTGGGAGCAGGTCCGGTTCTGCAGAAACACGTGGGCCAGAAGCCCCACCCGGGCAGCGGCCTTCCCGGAAGCCATGTCCGGTGAGCAGGAGCCCTGTCCGTGGGCTCCCCTGGGGTCCCCAGCTCCCAGCAAAGACTGGCAGGTCACAGGGATGCCGCGACAGCCAGGCCTATCCCAGAGGGCCCTGTGTCCCCTGGGGTGAGTCACCCCGGAGAGAGCCACCTGTAAGACAGTGACCAGCGGGCCAGTGGGGCACCCACACCCCAGGGTCCTGGGCCCTGCACTGGGCTCCTCCCGGCGCCCCGGTTCTAAGGAGGGATGGCAAGCGGAGCGCCCACAGGCTGGAGTCAGGCTGGGGCTATCGAGCTCTGGCTGGCCTTGAACTCAGAAGTGGCCGCTCGGAGGCCGCCTTGTGCGCCTGCCCTTCCCAGACGACCCGCGTCCTGGAGGCCTGCGTGAGGCTGCTGCTGTTCTGAAGTCGACTTCGCCGTCCCTCACGCCGTCCCTCGGCTGGAGTCAAGCTCAGCACCCCCCCACGGGGAAACCGAGGCGCGCGAGGGGGAGGAGCTAGCGCCGGTCCTCGCAGGCAGCGGGTCAGGCTGCAGTCAGGGGCCAGGGCCGGCTTCGGGTGGGAAGGCGCCGGCGGCTGGGCCGGGAGCCAAGGGGGCGTCAGCGGGCGAGCCAGGTGGAGGCGGCAGCATCTGTGTCGCCATGGCAGCCCCTGCGCTGGGCTCCCCGGGAGGGCAGCGGCGGGCAGCCTGGTCAGCCGCAGACTGGGCAGACCGGGGATGGGCTCGGGGCCTCGGGCTGGGCCCTGCAGGGGCTTGGCAGCCCCCGGCGCGGCTCTCTCCAGATGGGGCCGCTGGCAGCAGGTGGCAACAGGGGGATGCACACCCCTCTCCCAGGCGGGCGCGCCCCCCGAGGACCCACAGAGGCGCGCCCCAAACCGCACGTGGATCTGCTCCTGCCAGCCCACTGGGGGGTCACGGTCTCTGGGGCGGCCAGCCTGGTGCGCGAGGCCCAGGTCCCCTCCCGGAGGGGTCATTGCCAAGGGGGGAAGCGCCCTGACGTCTGGTGACCATGCTCGCTGTCACCCCCAGCTGCCTCACCAGCACGGCTAGCCTGCAGGGTGCTGGAGGGGAAACTGAGTCACAGAGCAGGGAACTTCGCCCCGTGGCTGGAGGGCAGGAAGCTGGGGTGGGGCGGGGCAGGGGGCTGGGGCGCCAGGGGCTGTGGGAACCCAGCGGGGGGCTTGAGGGCTCCGTGTCTGCATTCAGCCCTGTTCAGTTTCCCACGCGGCCGGGGAGTTCTGGGGGCCGCCCCCCTCCCGGGGCCTCTTTCCCACGTGTGGTGGGATCGCAGGCTTGGTGAGGGTTCGGCGCGTCCTGCTCACCCGGGTGGCCCCAGCACAGCCCTCGGGTGCGCTCGCATCTCAGACCTCGGAGGAGTCCTGCAGTGTCCCCACGGTAGGAGGGGAGACAGGCCCGGAGAGCCAGAGCCAGGCTGCCGGGCTGTTTGTGCGGCCGCAGGTCGGCAGCAGGCTCCTGACCCCGGGGCCTGGGCAGGGCGGGAGCCAGCTGCCCTCTGGGGTGTGCGCAGCTCCCCGCTCCCGGCTCGTCTCAGCTTCCTTTCTTATTGAAGTCATTTTTCTCTGCCTGTCGTTGTGGGCCCCCGCCCTGCCCTCGGCTGGCAGCGGAGCGAGAAGAAAACAAAAGCTTAATTAAGTCCCACTCTGGAGAAGGGGGCAGGTGCAGGCCGGAGGCCCAGGGAGGCCGCTCCGTGGGCGCAGGGTGGCCTGTGATCATCGCCCTGATGTGATTATATTAATCAGCACCGCTGTGCGGCGCGGGCCAGCTGTGCGCTCGGTCCTTCCCCCTCCCCCGCCCTGGCCCAGAGGCCCGCGGCGCGTCCCTGCCTGCCGCGGGCACCGGGCTGTGATTCCCCACGGATGCTGGATCCGGCCCGAGGCGGAGATGCCCGCGGGGTGGCGCTGGGGCCAGCGACGACCGTGTGCTGCGGGGTAGGTCTCTGAGGCCAGGAGAGAACTGGCCAGCCACAGGAGGCCGGGCAGGGTGGTGGGAAGGGCAGGGGCAGGCAGGGGCGGCGTGAGGCTGAGGCTGAGGCTGGGCGGCGGCCAGCAGCCAGCTGGGCCGGGCCCCCCCCTGCCTCGGGCTGTTCCTGCCACCTGTGCCCTCCTGTCTCAGGTTCTGGGCTTCTGCAAAGCCCGCGGTGTTCACGCCTCTGGCTGGTAGACTCAGCCTCACCCTGGGCACCTTCTGGGTTCTGCGGGCACAACCCAGGCCTTCAGGGCCCTAGTCCCTTTTCGGAGTCAGCCTGGGGCTCCCTAGCTCAGGGCTCTTCCTCTGTCCTCGGACTGGAGACCCCGGAGGCACAGCAGGTGAGAGCGCAGCTCCCCGAAGCCGGCCGCAGCCTCTGCAGCACAAGTTCGATCCCCGCCCCGGAGGTGACCACATGGCCGGCAGACCTCTCCTGTCTCCCCGCTGCTCCCCTCAGCAGTGGACTTCCTCCATCTGCCTGCTCTGCTCCCCACGGTCTCTGGTGAGTCCTCTCATCCCCCGCACCTCCTCTTGGCTGTACCCCAGTTCTGCATGCATAGATAAATCTTTAAAAAATAAATTAATAAAATGGTGCATGGTTGGGATTCAGGCACAGCCGAATCCAGGTGTCCACAAGCCCGCAGGCGTCTGAACCCTCACTCTGCCAGCGGTTCCCTGTGCCAGCTCCAGTCTGAAGAGGGGGCACTAGTTTGTGATGTGTGCCATGTTAGGTGCCAGCGTCCTCCTGGGCTCGGGAAGCTCGGGGTGCTGTCGGGGGGGCTCCTTCCTTTGCTTAAGACCCCCTGGGTTGGGCTGCGTCGGGTGCAACAGAGCAGGCTGATGGCACCCGCGTGGAAGGCGGCACCCACACTGGCAGGGAATACAAGCGGGCCTGACTTCGCCCGGGGTGGGGCTTGCCCCCGGGAGAGGCAGCAGGCTGAGGCCCAGCAACGTGGAATGGCAGGCACACGGTGCTCACAGGGCACGTGGCCTGCTGGCGTCGTGCTGGCGCTCGTGTGGACGCCCGCACTGGCTCCAGGCACACGCCACCGCACGCACACACAGCCACCCACACCACGCGTGCACACGCACAGCCACACGGGGTGAGTGGGCGTGCACGGGACCCGCGTGCGCACCGGCCGGCAGCGGGGACGGGGGAGCAGTGGGAGGGCGCCCGGCTGTCCCCGGACACATCCTCGCCCCACCGGGCCTTGCTCGCCGGTCCCCAGCCCTGCACACAGGTCCCGCTGGCTGCCTGAGGGCCCTGGGGAAGAGGTGTGAAGGACGGTGCTGGGCCTCGGGTCAGCCCGGGAGCCAGGGCCCTGGCGAGGACCTGCCCTGTGATGTGGGAGCCGGCTGGGGGTGAGGCAGTCCCAGAGGCTGTGGGAGGCGGCTGGCCTCGGCCAGGGCCTTCATGCCTGCCCCAGACCCAGCTGCGCTGTGGAGCCCCGGGGCCTGCAGTGGGAAGTACCAGCCTCGCCCCCAGCCATCTGGGGTGAGTTTGAGGCCAGCTCCTTTCTGCCCTGGGCATGAAGCAGACTCACCGGAGCCAGGAGGCGGAAACCAGGAGACACGGCAGACCAGCCAGGGCAGCGGGCGCGCAGTGGGGCTGCACCCGGACCCCGCCCGGCTCCTGGCCCCTCACGTGACTCGGGCCTTCCCGTCTGGGCTTAGCAGGCTCTGCAAGGGAGTCTTGTTCCAGCGTACAGCAGGAGCCCACTCACTGCCCGTGGCAGGGGACTGGATGGCCAGCTGTGTCTGCCCTCCCGGAGGCTGCCCAGTCCAGCAGGGGTGCCGGTCCTGCCGCCCTGCACGGCCAGTGCTAGCCCCTGGCCGGGAACGCCGAGACGCGGGCAGAGGCCGGCTGGGCCGCGCAGGCCCCGAAGTGCAGACGCGCCTCAGAGACGCCTGTGTCTTCCCACTGCGGAATCTCATCCAGCCCTGATGACATAATCCTGTGCCTGCCTCCCAGCGTCCCCATCTGGGGGACTAGGGGAGCGTTGCCTGGGAACTGCTGCCTTTTCCAGTCTTGCCTCTCTCCCCCAAGTGGGCTCCGAGGAGGGACTCGCATCCCGGTGGAACAAGCCAGCCAGAGCCAGGCCGGCAGCGGGCCTCTGGCCATCAGTTTCCCCACCTGTCAAATGGAGCTGATCGGAGGCAAACAGAACCCGCCAGGCCCAAGCTCCGGACCCGGAAGACCCCACAGACCCGGCGCCTCCTTGGCACCCCTGCTGGCCCCCACAGGCAGGGGTCCCCCGCCTCCGCGCAGGCACCCCGCCCAGCCCCCCTCCATCAGGACGAGGCCTCTTCTGGCGCACCGCCGCACGCACTCAAGGGCAACATGAAAAGGCCAGGTTGGAAAAGCAAGCTAAAAATAGCACCGGAAGAGTTCCTTAAGACAAGGGAGCCGAGGGGGTGCAAGGGGGAGACCCCTGCCCTGCACGGCTGGCTTCCGGGTTCCCCAGAGCCCGGCAGGAGCCCAGCGGCGACGTCGGACCAGGCTTCCGTTGATTCACCCGCGGGCAAGGCCTCCCGGGTGCAGGCGGAGTCAGAGGCACCTTCGGCCAAGAGAACCCGGACGGACCCAGAGCTGGGCCAGCCGCCCTGCAGCCTGCAGCCCCGGGGTCCGTGGGCGCGGAGCAAGGGCTCCTCTCCCCGCTCGAGGGGCTGTGGGGGGGGGGGCATCGGGGACACCGGACACTTGCTGCTGGCCCTGGCCCAGGCGGACTCTGAGTGTTGAGACAAGGCCAGAGGCTCCTGGGAGGGGCGGGAAGGGCTTCCCCCCCACCCCCCGCGCACTCCTGAACCACTGCGGCTCCTCACCTGGGGGGTCCGGGAGGGCTCTGCGCCATGTCCACCCCAAGCAGGAGAGCAACCTGGAGGGCTGAGAGGCTGGGGGAGCTTCTCCACCCCCAAGGCGCCCCCACCCTCCCTGGAATTCAAGGGAGAATTCCCCTCTTGTTATTAAACAGCCAACGAAGCAGGCAGATCTCCACCCCCGCTTTCTCGAAACACCTTTATTGCACTAAAAACAGCATTTATAAACAAACACACGTGGGGGAGGGTTTCTTAAAGCTTGATCCACAGTCAACTTCGAACACAAAGACACCAAACAGTGCAGGGACTATAAAATGTGGGCCCGGAGTGACCAGGGCGGGAGAGGTGGCGCGGGGGAAGGGGCCCGCAGGCCCTCCGGGCCTCTCCAGCCCGCGGGCTTGACCCGGCAGGCGCGTTCCGGAGTGAAGGGGGAACCCCAAGGCCCCAGGAGCGGGCAGCAAGAAGGAGCAGGCTGCAGTCGGCGGGGGCACGGTGAGGGCCCCTGGCTCCCAGGGCCCCCCACCCGCAGTCTGGAGGTTGTGCTGGTTTGTCTCGCTGGACATGTGCGGGCAGAAGGGGACACGTGCTTCCCGGCCTGGCGGAGGGCGGCCCCCACCGGGACGCGGGAGCCGAGGGCCGGGGGCATACGTGAAGAGGGCAGGAGCGTGCCAGGCCCCGTGGACTTCTCTGGCCCATCTCTGCCCGCGGGCACCGGAGCGCGTGAGGGCCGGGCCGGCCCTGCTTCCAAGTGCGTGTCTTCTCAGGAAGCTGGGAAACCGCAGAGAGCCGGCACCCTGAAGCAAGCGAACCCCAAGGGCCGCCGCCGGCCCCCCCCACGCAGGACCCGCGTGGAGTAAACCGCAACCACCGGCTCCCTCACGCGGTGCCCCTCCCCCCACCACCTGCGCCCACCCCAGGGGCGCCCCGGGCGGGTGCAGGGGCAGCTGGCCCAGCTGCCAGGCTGGGTAGGGGCAGCTCTCTGGCCTCTTCTCTGCCGCCTCCTCCGAGGGGCCACAGGAGGGTGGGGGGCTACTGGGCAGTGTGGGAAGAAAAGCCCCCCCAGGAGGGCGGCCCCCCAAGTTAGGAGGCATCAACCGCTTCCTCTCCCGGGCCCTCTACTGCCAGGCGCTCGCCTGGGCACCTCCTCCCAGCCCCCACAGTGGCGCCTGGGAGGCCAGGGCTGCCCAGCCCAGCCTGCCCCGAGGCTGCCGTGCACTGGCACCGCTGGCCGCAGCCAGGCGGCACGGCTCTCCTCGGGAGCCTCTCCCTCTGTGCCCTCTGCGCCCCGTGCAGCCCCGGGAAGGGTGCGTGGCCTGGAGGTGTGTGGCCCTGGGGGGTGGGGGGAGCGCCAGCCTCGCCCACCTCTGAAAAAATTAATCCGTGAAGACTAACATGCACCGGCCGCCCAGCCCAGGGCAGCCCTCCCCCTCCCAGGCGGCCGGGGAGGCCGCTGCTGCCAGGACGCGGCTGGACGGGGAGGGGCCGCGGTCCTCTGCGGGGAGGACGGGGCTTCACAAGAAGGGGAGCAGGGAGGTGAGGGGCAGCTCCTTCTCGGCCAGCAGCGTGTCCCGCTTGAGGCTGCTGCCCTTGTTGACCACCTTGATCCTGAGGGCCAGCTTCCGCACGCTGGCGGACCCCAGGCCGTCGAAGAAGAAGTCCTCGTTGAAGACGGGGTGGCGGCTGTTCTTGATGATGGTGCTGCGCTGCTTCTGCAGCTTCCCGGGCACCAGGCACAGCCCCACGCAGCAGTTGATGGTGCGCGCGTCGCAGAGGCGGTCGTACAGGCCCTCGGCGGCCAGCAGCCG